TCTCACTGCTCGCTGTGTAGTTACATCACTTTTTTTCCACACTGAATCTAACAAAACCCTTCAGAAACTTCCGAGGAGCTCGGAGTCCCAACACAGGTCACGAAGCTCACAGACGCTGATTACTGAAGCAACTGCGGATAGCAGCGGTTGCTAAGCACTGATTGGATGGTTGAAGAAAATGACCCGGAGCTTGGCAGATTTTGATTGGTCACAACACAGTGACAGCGCTCACAGACAACAAATCACATTTGATTTCATAAAAAATGACGCATTATAAATATTCTAGGTAGGTCAGTGAGACTGTGGCCGTGACCGAGACTGTATTACCATAACGGTGCTGTTTCTATGTTTAATCTCACGAATGGAGAATAGTGGAAAAAAAAACTACCGAGGTCCGGACCTCGGTGTCCTCATAGCTAGTTTCAACCATGTCTTGCTGTATTCGTGAGAGCAAGGACAGAAGCATAATGCGCAGAAATGTTGAAATCCAGAGCTCCAACAGAGGAGATGCTTGTTCAGATTTGGATGTTGCTTCTGGATCTCCTATCTAATAAAATGGAACTGTATTGGATTGTTTTGTCTTCTGCAGCAAAAACGGTTCATGGATCGTCACCAGCGTCACTTTTCCTTATCACACCTGCTGATATTGAGTATGGGAGCCCTAAGAGGTCATTGAGTCACCTGGTTTATTTACTCAGATTTTCCTATAATTAATTAGTTAATTTTGTTTCTGGAGATTCAGAGCTATGCGTTATTTTTTTGGAGATAATATGAAGCTTGAAAACACAATGTTTATGTTGTGACAATGACAGTTATTTTAAGATCTTGTGAAAACAGCAGATTGTCCTATTTTCTGTGGTATTTCTTGGTAAACCCCTTCATTGTTGTCAGAAAATGACAGTTTTTGATACACTTTGATATAAAGGGTGTGTCCCAATTCAGCAAGCGGCCTTCAGATGCAGCCTCTGAAGGATACAGCCCCCGAGGACACAGCTAAAGTATGAGTAATTCAATAATAATTTCAATCGTTACGTCATAGAGCCCTGACACTCTGGTCTCTCGAGAGAACACATCATAATGAAATTGTAATTATTTAAATAAATATCAGTTAATATAATGATATAATTTGTGATACAATTCAAATTTTATCATAAATATAAAAAATAAGAATCCGTAGTCTGTCAGGGCCTCAGTAGTTGAGAAATATGGATTATCATTTTGTCAAGTTTTATTGGGAAATCCTGTTTTTCCTTTAGGAGCCTATAGAAGTACACTGTTGAGTTCAGTGTGCTGAAGCTGTGCCGTCCACATAATCTTCAGTTTATTACTTCATATTTATAGCTGTTTGGCTGATTAGAGCGTGTGATTAGCTAGGCTAGGCTAATTTAGGCTAGGCTGGGTTGCAGCATTGGGCTCATTAAGGCAGGCTGGAGTTGTGGATTGACTGCATCCAATCGGTTTATTTTCATTAATGCCTCCAGCGCGACGCAGCAGCACTGGGCACGGGTCAAACGCATCTATGTGTGTCCGTGTCAAGTGAAGTGAAGTCAAGAGGCTTTTATTGTCATTCCATCCATGTACAAGTACACAGCGGAGCGAAATTACGTTGCTCCAGGAACAAGGTGCAACAAGGAACCAAAAGTACGGTGTGTGGGTGTGTGTGGATGTGTGTGGATGTGTGTGTGTGGTGTGTGTGTGTGTGTGTGTGTGTGTGGGTGCGTGTGTGGGTGTGTGTGAGTGGGTGTGTGTGAGTGGGTGTGTGTGGGTGTGAGTGGGTGTGTGTGGGTGTGAGTGGGTGTGGGTGTGTGTGGGTGTGTGTGTGGGTGTGTGTGTGGGTGGGTGTGTGGGTGGGTGTGTGGGTGGGTGTGTGTGTGGGTGTGTGTGGGTGTGTGTGTGTGTGTGTGTGTGTGTGTGTGGGTGTGTGTGTGGTGGTGTGTGTGTGTGAGTGTGTGTGTGTGTGTGTGGTGTGTGGGTGTGTGTGTGTGGTGTGGGTGTGGGTGTGTGTGTGTGGGTGTGTGTGGGTGTGTGTGGGTGTGTGTGGGTGTGGGTGTGGGTGTGGGTGTGGGTGTGTGTGGGTGTGTGTGGGTGTGAGTGGGTGTGTGTGTGTGGGTGTGTGTGTGCGTGTGTGTGGGTGTGTGTGTGGGTGTGTGTGTGCGTGTGTGTGTGGTGTGTGTGTGTGGTGTGTGTGTGCGTGTGTGTGTGTGTGTGTGGTGGGTGTGTGTGTGTGGTGTGTGTGTGTGTGCGTGTGTGTGTGTGTGTGTGGGTGTGTGTGGGTGTGTGTGTGGGTGTGTGTGTGTGGGTGTGTGTGTGGTGTGTGTGTGTGTGTGTGTGTGTGTGGGTGTGTGTGTGTGTGTTCGTAAGTTTTTGACCTCACAGCAGTTCTAGAGCAAATAGGCACACAAGGCAACAGCACAATGCAGGCTATCATATTTCTTGGTTTTGCGTGGCTTTGCGGTTTGATATGGGCTGCTATAATTAGCTGAACTGTCTTTTTTTTTGTTTGTTTTTTTGTTGTTTGTGCACATCAACGCCTACAAAACAACATGAATATTGATCTAGGAAAACTTGACAAAACTGAGCTAAACTTGATATTGCGGCAGATTTATGGCTCAATCTGATTTGGTCAGACTCTGAAGATCAGACTACATGTTTGGTGAATGGTATTGGGTTCATTTCTGGCTGTTCTTCTGTCACAGCTGCCGACTGAAAAGCTGCTCAGTGGTGATGACAGTTTGGGAATTTAGTGTAAGGAGCTGGAGAATGAACTGCCGGCTGTGCAGCGAGTGGGTGGAGCTCGTTAATCTGACGTAGCAACAAGCTGCTTGTTAAGGAACTATAATTTGGTGAAGGAACTGCGAACATTAAAACATATTAAACGCCGCGTTCACGACCCAGTTTATTAATTTATTACTTTATTTATTTAACTGTTGTATTAAAGCAATAGAGCACTTGAGGAGTGTGTTATCGCCAATAACATCACGGCTGTGATGATCTACGGCGACCAAATCACAGCCGTGATGTTAGAACACTCCCTCTCGGGTTCTATTGCTTAAATACAACATAAAACAGTACATCAGTTCAGTGTATTAAACCTTGTGAAAGGATGTTTCGTGTGTGTAGGCTACACTCGTATAGCTCACAGGGATTAATGTGGTGTTACAGTTCTGAGTAGAATATCAGTTATGAATGGGAACACTGTCTGATAAGGCTGGGAGACGTTTCCTTTGAGAATCGCCTGGCTGGCTGACGCTGTTTAGGCTGTTTCATTTCTCTAAAGGTCACCAGTGTGATGTTAAAATACCGAGATGCCTTGAGCTAGTCATAAATGTTGGCCTCCTTCGGTCAGATCTTTGAAAAGAACGTGTGTGTGTTCGTCTGGCCTCTCTGGTGCCTCACAGCGTCGTCTTCTCTGTAGTTACAGAGTCACAAAGCAAAGCAGAGCGAGTGAGTGTGTTTAATCTTTGACCCCTGTGTGTGTCTGTTTCTGTGTGAGTTCATTCTCATGCGTTCGTCTCTTTTGTTCCAGCTGTGAGGTCAGTAGAGTCAGCTGACTAGAGTTAGTGCTTGGAAGGACTGGACTTCAGCTCGTGTGTGTGTGTGTGTGTGACAAGTCTGTACTAGTGATGAGCAATATGACAGTATTTATTGTCGTTCCGTTATCAGGTGGATTTGATCTACTGATTATAGGCTTTTACACCAACTCTTTGCACCGTTTCAGCTGAAGGTCTGTCATTAAAGCAAAAAGGGGACGTTCTGTACCAAATTCTATGGCTACGTTCACCTTACAGGCCTCATCGCTCAAATCTGATTTTTTGCTCAAACCCGATCTCTCTGACACGACGGTTCACACTCGTTTAGGTAAGTGATTTAAATCGGTCATTAATGTGAACGAACCGGCAACAAATGTCGCGTGAATGAATCACACGCATCATCAGCACAAACTAACGAGCAGAACGAGCTTCACTGAGAAGATAATTAACTCTGATCAGCTCTCAGCTTCATTATTAGAGCGAGACGAAGGAGAAAAAGGTGAGATGAGCTGCTTTTCCACCGTTTACAGGCTTTAACTGCTGTCCGGCGCTGCTGCCATGGTAACGCTGAATGATGGCGCAGTGGAAAAAAAGCACATGAATTCCGATCTGAGCATCACATTAAGGTCGCATGGCCACGAATCGGATACGTATCCGATCTAGGACCACATACGAAAGTGACTCAGGTCGGATTTGAAAAGATCAGATTTGCGTGTCCACACAGCTCTGAAAACATCAGATCTGAGTCACAATAAGGCAGATAATCAGATTTGTACCACTTCAGCCTGGTAATGTGAATGTAGCCTAAGAAATTCTGAAATTCATGTAAATATTCAAAGACTGTGCTTTTCACTGAATTTTGCTGATAAAATAATTTGTAATGAAAAACCTTTTATTAAATTAGGGAGGAATGCAAAAGAGAAGCATTTTCACCAGTGGTCTGACTTTTGGACCCCACTTTAGGTTTATGATGGCTGTAATGAAAGGCTAATGTAGGTGTTGTGTAGTCTTATGAACCCTGCACTCCAGAAAGGTGGTGCTCATTAATTTGACCAACATGATTTGTGTTTGTTGGGTCACACAAATCCCTTGATTCACCAGAACACACAGGCTCATTTACTTGTTGCAGTCTTAAAGTCAGTTCTGATAGAATATATTGTGCAGCCCTAAGACACACACACACACACACACACACACACACACACTTGAGTGCCGTCTAAAGAAAGGTGTGTTAAATTCAGGCTCAGATTGGCTTCTGAACCGACTCCATATTCTTATAAAAGAAGACACTTCAGCATTATTTTAGATGCACGTCTGAAAGTGTACCAGGCTAATGCTGTTGGTGCCGATCGCTGTTCTACTGCTGCATCTACTGAAGAACAGAGAGCCTATAGAGCTTTATGTAAGAATGTTATGTATGTGTCAGTGTGACCCCTGACTTTGTGCCCTTTTGTCCTTGTGTCTCTGCAGCCCAGAATGTGACGGTGGAGGAGATTCTGAACGCCTACAGACAAGCCTGCCAGAAGCTCAACTGCAAACCCATCCCCAAAGTGCTCAAACAGATCCAGGTACCACCGATAAATACACGAGCCCCTCACACACCTGCCCTTTGTATGCAGGAGTAAACAGAAACTGGTTAAGTGTGAATGCAAGCCTGATAAGACTGACACAGCAGTTTATCTGCACAAGACCTAGAATTCAGTTTTTCACAATTTCTGCATAACACAATCATTGAGAAGTAATTTAGGGGCTGGATCCTTCGAAGGACACTCCTTCATAGACCGCTTAGAGTCGCGAAGGCTGAACCGAAATGAGACGGTCTGCTCTGTGGCGGATTTTCTGTTTGCGTCACAGCACCGTTGTTCCCTGCCCTCACCACTGCATCACGATACGCCGCTCCTGTCAAGTTCTTTTAAAGTTCTTTAACGATGGAGCCAGAAACTTTCAGTTGTTTATTTTTCTCATTTATTAGAGCTGGAGATTCTGCACCGCTGACTACTGATGAGATTTTTTTTTTACATTTGTATCATTAGCTATTCGCCTCAGTTTAAACCCAATACTTACATTTAAAAGTATCTCTTCAGCCACCGTTCGCTCCTCTGCTGACGCCGCCATGCTCTTGAATCCTCCCCGGCACGCAATGAACCTCGGGATATGTTGGCTGGTGAAGGATCCACCCGTTCGATCCTTCATTGCCATGAAAAAGAAGGACACATTTATCGGCCACGTATGAAGAAGCCTTTGAAATAGGACAGTCTAGTCGCGCTGCTGTGACGCAGCCGGCCTTTAAATGCAGCCTCCGAAGGACGCAGCCCCTGAATTGAAACACTGACTGAGTCATTCACAGTGGTTCATTGTAGATAAAGTTACTGACTTTGCTGCATTTACAGTGGTGGTGATAGGAGCAAGGGTTTTGATGTCTACAACGCAAACATAGACGTTTTGTGCTGTCCAAAATGACCAGTCAAGTTTTTATATGTGATGTGAAAATGTTAAATAGTAGTAACTCTTAATAAAAATACCTTAAGCTCTTAGGCCTTAAGCTTATGTTAGAACTATTATAAAGCAGTGTCTCAGGCAGCTGGAGGCATATTCATAATATTATCTAATTGTTGTGAGGCAGCTTCATTAAGCACTTCAGACATCTGGTTCCTGTCATCTCCGCTGTGAACAATTCTGACTCTTAAGAACAGAACATTTCACATCGAACCACTCTGAACGACTTTCTTTACATCTTTACCATTTAATTATGCAGAAACTTTGAAAAATCAATGGATTCATTTTTAATGATTGAATAAGGAGAACATTAGAAACCAGCTGGAATCTCTCTTTCTTTCTTTCTTTCTTTCTTTCTTTCTTTATGTATGTTTTACAAGTGAACAGTGTCGAAGGAGTGTATGTTCTGTACATGATTATAGCAGTATAACTGCTCATGGCCACTACTACATTTTTATTAGCCTTTTTTAATGTATATTTAACAATTTGTTGGCTAAATAAACACAGGAAACTCTCTAGCATATTTGCGGTTCTTATTATTAGCCAAAATTGCATCATAAACAACATTATATGCGGTTTAATGGGCCAAATTGGCATTTTAAATTCTTAAACAAAAAATATCGTCGTATGCAAGTTTGAACACCCCCGCTCAAATTACGTATATCTTCTACAGAGGACAAACCAAAATATGGCATTTCAGCTCATTTTAATTGGGTAATTTCCATTGGAAACAAAACAGCATGTTGAGGAATTGGATGGGTAATATTTTGTTTTTGTTTGTTTGTTTGTTAGGTTTTTTATATGTTAAATTAAGCAAATGATCAGTAGTTGTGCATCGAACTGTGAACATAGACCTGCTAACCCAACTACAAACCAGTCAAGTGTATCAGGGTAACTCACACACACACACACACACAAACACCCCTCCCTCAAGCCAGAGTCAAGGTGCAGACCACCATTTCCTGTCTTCACCACACACACCTCTACAGACCAATTTGAACAACAGTTCTCAGAACACCTCCATGATCTGTGTATACACATACACACACTGGAACACAGGGTCAGACTGACTGCTGTGTGTTTTGGGTGTTTTCTGCAAACAGCTCCAAGGTGCTGTCCTGGTGTGGAACCACTATGTGACAGTTAGCCTTTCTTAGAACAGTAAACAGGTTTGACCACAAGCATTATTCACCACACGGTTATTAAACCAGCCTGCATTAAGAATCCCTTTCTACATGTGTGAGACAGTGAACAGTGTCGTCTCTTATAGGACCAAATATCATTTAAGGTTCCACGATTTAGCTGTATTGGCAAAAATCCTGCCAATGGTAAAGATCATAAGTGGTTTATCTTATATTATATTGAAGTGAATACATGTGATTATTCATTTCTCAGGATTTTAGAGGTTCATGCCCTTGTACCAGCTTTTAGAGGAAATACTAGGCTAGAAATAAACAGTTGTGTGTTTTTACAGCAGTAGGGACGGGACATAAAACACCACCATGGTTAAAGTACCAAGGACATGTAAGCTGCATCTAGGTCTAACCTTTAGCATCAGGATGACATGTAATATAATATAACACAAAAAAACTTTGTGAACCCTTGAAAATAAGCCATTTAACCTTTTCAACCCCTTGAGACCACCGGTGGTTCCAAAACGCACTTCGTCATATTCTTCATAACTTTCATATTTCATAAGCTACATTCTAAAGGTGAGGGTCATATGAGAGCTGTAACTGTCTTCTTTCCGTTCAAATAGATGGGTGATGTAATTTTAAACCCTTATAATAAAAGAAGCTGAACTCAGTCGACCCATTTTTCCACAAATCTGGGCTATAAACTGTAAACAGACGGCATCTCTACAGTGATCTGCTCTGTAAAAATTATTTTTATAAAATAATACAAAGAGCGTCTAAGATTTTTGGCTTTCAGCAGTAAATTGTAAGCATATAGCGTTTTACTAAAACTATTGTAATCTGTTTAATTTTTGGCTATAAATTAATATTGGACGATATCGGTTATCAGAAATTTTTAGCTACTTAAAATTATTAATTATTAAAAAGTTATTGGTGACAAAACTCTCATATCATTCAGGGCCTTTTCTCTAAGCGTTCCAGTGCAGCTTATCAGGACTGCCTGCGGCACAGAGTGATGGACGGATGCATTGTTAGACCGCAGCAGACAGAGGGTCATCGCTCCTGTACGCTCCATGCTGAGTCACAGAAAACAGAGAGACGGCGAGAGAGAACATGTTATCATCGCCTGCTGTTTGCACATAGAGACACGTGCCAACTAACACCCACTGTTACACAGCAACCAGCACATGCTGTCTCACTTCTCCTTTCTTTTGCTTTTCACCTGCAGCTTTTATATTTCTCTCATTAAGGGTGGGCAGTGTGACTGATATATTGTTGTTGCACTAAATTACATCGCAGTACACTTTTCTGAGCAAATCACACGTATCTTCTAGAGCAGGGGTGTCAAACTCAACCACTACAAGGGCCATATTAAAAAAATCTCAAATCTTTTCACTTAACCCTTTGCCTCCCGAACAGGCCGCTGTTTATTCAAAACATACCAAAAATGCAGGAGCAAAATCGGCATTGAATCTCTATTCAAAAATAGTTCTAAATAAAAATAAATTGTTTTAGGTCGTTTTTTTAAATGGCCTATTTGCTTGAACTAGACAGCAGGCATCTTTTCTTTTTGTGTAACTGCTGGCCCATAGATTGTTGTTGGGGGTCAGAACACACACTAAGGCTACGTTCACACAGCAGGTAAAAGTGGCCCAAATCAGATTTTCTCACCAAATCCGATTTTTTTTGTTTGGCTGTTCACATTACCTTTTAAATGTGATCTGTATGTGACATCAGTCTGAACAGATCAGCTCCTAAACTGACCCGCATGCGCAAAAGAACAGAGCTTCATGTGGCTCATCCAGAGGTAAACAGTCACGATGGCCAGTGAACGCCAGTCGCTCCCGGAGCTTTAGTTTCGTCTTCACCAGCATCACATGAGCGATTATAAAGTTCCAGTGGTTGACAGCTGGACTTATCACCCACAATGTGTTCGAGTTCGCCATAAAAAGGGCTCGTTATTCTGCCACGGCCACTTCTTTGGTTCGTGTCCTCAGATTCTTTAAACTGTTCTCTGAAGCTGCAGCCTCGGTCTCCTCCAGCTGCGCTCGGCCGTTTCATTTGAAACCTCTTCAAACACGGAGCGGTTTGATGAGTCTCTTCTAATGTTTTGGTACAGAAACATCAGACTAAATGTTTGTGAGTCTCAGCAGTGCGAAATTATGACTAATGTTGAGTTGGATTGACGTAAAAGTCACATGAAGTCCGATCTGGCTGTTCAGACTGAGTCACATTGCTGCAGATCGGATACGTATCGGGTTTCAGTACGACATATGAAAGCGTCTCAAATCGGAATTGAAAATGTCAGATTCAGTGTGTTTTTTGCTGCTCACACTGACACACAGACACATCTGTGTCACATACGGAGAAGAAGATCAGATTTTAGTGACTTTTACCTGCTGTGTGAACAAAGCCTATGTTGCAGTGCATGCAGAGGACTGTAGTGCATCTCAGGGTGAAACGGGCTAATAAGAATAGAAAATTAAAATACTTTTGCGGGCCGAATAGGACTGTGTCACGGGCCTTACTTGGCCCGCGGGGCTTGTGTCTGACGCATGGGTTCTAGAGCACTGAACAATTAAGCATGAGTCATCGAAAACAGAGATTAAGACCAGTTGTAGAGAGCCTCTAAACACAAGACTAAGGCCCAGTCCCATTCAACCCCTCGCCCCTACCACTCCAAACGGAGTGTTAAGACAAAAAAAAAGAAAAAACAGCAAGATAGCCACACAAGCGACCAAAAAAACGTAATAAATTTGAGTTTTCTCTGTTAAAAAATTACAACCACCATCGTATTATCTTAGTTTATTGTCATTTCAGTGTATTATGGTACTTTTCTTCATAAAAGCATAAAAAATTGCTAGTAGTGCTGATGTCTTGGTAGCTAGCTAGCTAACTTTCCCGTTCCACCTTAAATGGTGCCTGAAGCGCCAGAA